CGCGGGAAAAAACTGGTGCCTAGTCATGAAAACGTGGCGTTGGAGGATAAACAAAAATTGCAAATGAAGACTTTCAGTGAACTTGCAGAGTGTTTAGCACGGATTCCACCTAAAATAGCTTTGTACGGACTTCTTTTTAAATACAATTACGTGGGATGTCTTTTGCTTTTAATGTTTAGTATTGATTTTCTGTTTGCAATCAAAAGGGACGGGTATATGTTCAAGGAAAAGGATGATTTTGTAGTTTTCCGAAGCATCAGAAGCTCGACAAGTGGGTGATGGCTGCCGGAGAAAAGCAGCTAACATGTTGGCCCAAACTCAGTCACATTGAAACCGAGTAGGAAAGCCAGCTCACTACAATTCGGTAAAACAGAAATATAAACAAATCTTGGTGGCAGGAAAAAAAGAAATAAGCGACGGATACACGGCCTACTTGTTAACGCAAGAGACGTCTGTCATTGAACAAAACAGTTCAAGTCGAGATCGAAAAAAGGAAGACAGGAAAGAAGCGGTGACTGAGGTTTCGATGAGGTTATGTTTGCAAATTGGTTTTTGTTTGCCAGGACGTTATTCTCTGGTCTTTATCGATGAAGGACATCAATTAGAACTATTTTTTTAGAATAAATGCTGGAGCGATCGAGTGGAGCACGCTCAAAATTTCAACTTGTTATTCGGCAGACTCTGTAAGGCCGGCCACATATCATTTTAGCGAGTTATTTTTGTATTTCTTATCTTTGGCTGTTAAGAGTTTTAACTTTATGTTCCATAATATTTTAAAAGTGAAGAATACATAAATAAATAGAATGATGGTCTTGTTAAACGGATTCAGACTCGAATTTAATCATTCGAAACAGAAGCTTGCCGTGTTCAGTCCTGATACAAACATTGCCTTAAAAGTTTAACCTAGTAAAATGTGAGCTTTATACCACTTTTTTACCAAGAGCTCTCCAAGATAATGCCTTAAAGGAGACCAGGCAAATAGCAAGCCATAAGATTCACACACTACAGCTTCTAATTTTGATAAAATTATTTTATTTCGCAATGACAAAGAAATCAAAAGGTTTTTGCTAAGTTCTGCCAACGTACCTCTAACAATTCACTCCAAAGTGACGCAATTAATATCATCTAAAGGAAGTTGTGAATACAGACATACATATATACATAGAATGAAAATGACACTGACATGAATGAATGAGCCTCGTGAATGAATCTTTCACCCGCTCTCGACTTGACCAGTTTTGTGTAATGGCGCGGAGGTCTCTTCCGTTGACAAGTAGGCCATATATCTTTCGCTTATTTCTTTTTTACTTGCCACTAATATCTGCTTTTATTTCTGTTTTACAGAACTGCAGTGAGCTGGCTTTCGTATTCGGTTTCAGTGTGAAGTTTGGGCCAACATGTTTGCCGCTTTTCTCCGGCAAGCCATCGTCCACATGTCGAGCTTCTGAGACTTCGGAAACCTACAAAATCATCCTGTTTCCTTGAAGATATACGCGTCCCTTTTAATTGCAAACAGCAAATCAGTACTAAACATTAAAAGCAGAAGACGTCCCACGTAATTGTGTTTAAAAAGACGTCCATACAAAGTTGTTTTAGCTGGAATCCGTGCTAAACACTCTGCAAGTTCACTGAAAGTCTTCCTTTGCAATTTTTGTTTATCCTCCAACGCCTCGCTTTCATGACTAGGCACCAGTTTTTTCCCGCGTGTCCGCCATTTGTGAATACGGTGTATTAAATAGTCTTATTTGTACACCCAAAAATAGCAGTCATGTTGGATCACAGTAGATTAGGCCTGGAAAACAAATAGACCTATTCGTGTATTGTATTTGCATTAGCTATGGATAGACTATGGATAATTGGACAACCCCGAAATATAATTTTAAGAAACACACGCGCCACGATAGTCCTTGGTGGCAGCCAATTTACACGTTGCATTCCTCTGTCTAAAAGAGAGGCCAAAATAAAAAATCAGGCCGGATTTTTTGTGTTCGACAAGTTTAGTTTACTGGTAAATCTTGGCGACGAATCTGGTGGCGTGTAAACCAGCCTTTTAGACATACTTTTTCTCATCACGTCTCAGGTAAACAGTACTCTGAGGCCCTTTTTTTATCATACAGACCTCGGACAGAATTTGTTCTTTTTTGCCCTTTTTAAACCTATAATTCTGCAGTTTTTCACAATTTTGCAAGAGAATTTGCACTCATTCAATATCCACGACGATCAAAGCACGCGCCTCCTTTGCACAACAAATTATAGCATTGAATTATAAAACGTTGTCATGAACAGAATTCTCAGATAATGCCGGAACTTTTCAGTTAGAAAAATCTGGTCCTATGTGATATGCAGGGTAATAATTACGGGCTTTTAATGAAAGCGACAAAAAAAATTCCCACAATTACCTTTTCGGCCAGCCGGACGGGTTCTCACTTTTGACAGGCACCAAATTTGCAGTGCGACTAATAGAGTTACCATTTATGCTTCAACATGATAATGAAATTGT